TCATGTTTCTTATAGTGTTCGTTGAACGGTATTCGATGAAAGTACATGCAGATTTCTTTTCGCAGCTGTGACGTCAAGAAAAAGTTGTATCACGTGATCACCGTTAATCAATTAAGTCCATTGACGCTGCAGTTCGGCGTCTTCTACACCGATCTGACGCATATCGCGCTAGGTGTGCCGGGAGTTTGTTCGAAATTTCGAACGTTTCGAAGTCAATTGTCGATTGCCACATATTTTACGGATATATTGAATCGTTTCAGAGACCTGTTTACTAAATAATGATAAATGAAACTTAGAAAACTTGTAAGAACAAACTGGGCCCAAATTGCACAAATTGCAATAAGTTTACGCTGCTAGAGTCTGGTTCGGATGGAGTTCTACGCATGATTTTTTTGCGCTCAAGGACGTTCTATTTTCGAACTAGTTGAAACCGGAAATAACGCAACTACTTTCGAACTTCAAACACAAATTTGATTATCGTTATTATGTGTTAGTTTCTGTTGTTTCAAAGATTGAATTATGTATGACAATAATATTTCACTCTATAAACAATGTTTCACTAAAATATGTGATTCAAAGGCAACCCAAATTGTAAAAAGCAATATCAAGTTCCGCGTATAAACACTGTTGTAAAGAGGCGGCGGAGCGGAATTTTAGCCAAAATCGGCTAGTAAGGCGTCATATGACACAGGTTTGTGCTGGGACAGCGCTTCCGGTGACGACACAACGCAATTAAGTCACGCGTGATTCAAGATGGCTGCCACAGTTTGTTGACAAATGCGAGTTTGATGACAAAACGTGAATTTTTCCACTTTATAATTGTCAAGACATGCGTAAGGTACAAACCGAGTGTTCATTAAATGTTATTGAAACGATCGGTGCCATTTACTGATGGAGGATGGTTAAGTTTCTGAAACAAAATGTAATTTTCCATGCCACGTCCGCTGGGGATGAGGGGTTTTAGAAAATCATAGTGACCGTTCACATGGCTGTGTTGGGGTGGCGTAAGAAGCCCAATGTAAATATCACCCCTACACAGCCATGTACGCAGGGCTACAACATACAATATTTTATGGTCAGATGTTTTCGATGTCAGATGTATAATAATGTGATTTATTCCTTTCAATATCTCATCCAATCAGAGTAGCGTTCACAACTATGAGACATGACAATTATTATTATTTATAGTTAGAAGATTATCAAACCTACAAAATAATGTTCCATTATTTTAGGAATTCTACGTGCCGATGGAAGAGATTTTTTTGGTTCATAAAGTTATAAGTGATAAGGAACAGCCCGTGTTATCTTGAGTGATGAAGATCACAGTCCCTCACACTTCCGTTTGACTGATGAAAGATTTTAATTTGTACCTGAACACTTTGGTCACTCGAGCATGTCGCCATTCGCCGTCCGTGGAAATCGTAGGCGACATCGTGAATGAGATCTTTGTGTTCGGCAGATATACTCTTCGTCACGAACATCGTAAGAAACTAAACACAATTTTGTGAACAAGCTGTCGTCCAGATTCGTTCCTGACCTCCTTCCCAGAATGCAGCGAATAAAGTCAACGGAAATGGGTCAAACGAATTGCAGACTGAGTGGGGGGGGGGGATATTACACTGACCTTTGTGCTTGGATTTTTATTGCATCTTTGGTCACAGTGTGATATTTTATGTGAGTATCGATTATGGTAACGAACTAGAAATTATTATACGTTTTGTTTTTTTAAATTAAATTCTCGTATGCAATTATAGATACTGCATAAAATACATCACCCTCTTCCCAGATATTTTTGGAACAGAACAAAAAGTCAAAATGGCGATATCCATGTTGTAGTTCTCGTTGTTTTTTTCTGCATCTTTTGGTAAAGAAGTAATTCTATTTCTAACCGTAGTTTTGAACTCCTTACATCAGTTGTGAAACATTTTTTACACGTGAAAGGTAAGCGATTGAGCAGTGAATTTTAATTTTGACTCGCAAACCCGTTGCTTTATAATTGAGACGAAAAATAAAAGATTCGACCGTGTGACGCCGGCGTGAGAAGTGATTCTTATTTGTGCAAGTTCGAAGATACTCTGTATATTAAACTTCAGTTTGGAATACCACTCGTACCACTGAATCGTAGTTTCTAATATGCCTTTGACGCGGTTTCATGGAAACCACGGTACTAACTTAGTCTTGTCCGAAGGTGGAGTTGTGGCAAGGCGAACTTGCAGCTTCGCCAACGCAATAACGTTTAGCGAAAGACCACTGAAAGTCGGCGAAGTGTTTCTCGTCGAGATAGAGGGACAGGAAAGAGGATGGAGTGGTCATCTCCGATGTGGGCTCACCCAACACAACCCTGTTTTAATGACAAACAATGTGGATGATTCGAGTAAGCCGGATCAAATCAAGATCCCGCAATATTCAATGCCAGACCTGGCTAACATGGGAAAAACATGGATTTTTGCAATCACTAAATCTCACAATCGAGTACCTTCTGCAAACCGAGAGAATGAGGATTCCTCAACATTACGTCCTGTACACCGTAAACCTTTCATTGAGGACTTCATTGGCTATATTCGCTGTGGATCGGTCAATATTCCTAAACATATGCTAGTTGGGAAAGATAAAAGTGGTGGGGAACTAGTGGCAACATGTAATGGAAGCAGGATTGGTGTCACATATGAAATTGTTGATGGAGTTGCAGAGATGCATTTTCTCATAAATGGAGAGGATCAAGGTGCAGCAATTATGGATCAGGCTGATTTGGATAGACCATTCTATTGTGTGGTTGATGTATATGGTACAACAAAGCGAGTCAGAGTAATACAGCTAGCAATAGGTAAGTGACCATTTGGATGAAAAGAATCAGAGTGTCTATTTGCACAGGACATGTGAATAGCCAAAATGTTCAACAAAATGACTATTCGCATGTCCCTCTCATGTACGGAGTCCTACTAACTTTCTGTTTAGGACCAAAATACTTGCATGTACCGGTATTTTGGTTTTCTGCATTGTTATCTATCATTTTTTACTTAAAGGTTGTCGACAAGACCTCAGTTAATGTGTTTTGAACTCTGACAACCAATCCAACAGACTAGCAATGCAGCGTTTTCTATTGAAGTAATGCATGTCACGTTTGTTTAGGTTATCAGTTCTTATCATACCAAGTAAACATTGCGGAGCAACGAGATTATCATTAGATCTCACAAAAGAATGCAAGATGTATTTATATTCCAACCAACTATCGCAATACAACACAAGACATAAACATTTATCACATCTCACTGCTGTTATATGGATGACGTCACTGAAACTACTGCGCAGCGATACTGCGCATAACAAATTGTCGTTCACTGCACTGTTGCTGCCCTGACAGCTGTTGCTTGCAATTTCTGAAGAAGCGAGAAGTTTGTAGAATATCCGGTGTTCGATAAACTTTGGCGGTGTCTATGTTAATACAACTGAGTGTGGCACACATAGCATATAGAATTAAGTCAATTAACACCTTAAACAATAGGCATTGTCAGTCCGTTTGGGTTGGTTGTCTGAGTTTAAAGTTGTAAAAAACATGTAATATTGCGTGAATGCATAGACCTTAGAGAGTAGAGACATGCAACTGTGGGTATCTCTTTCGTGTAAAATTAGTTGTAATCTTCTATCCAATTAACACCTTAGAGGAACTGACAATTGCTACGTTTGCTTAAAATTAATGTTTCAGTAAATTTTTTTTTTTTAAATTTATCCACTTCATTATTAAAATCAGTCAATAATTTCTAATTTTTATTTTGAGACTATACTGCCGAGTTGTTGAATAACCTATTAAAGGGGCACTTCCAGTTAAGCCTAATCTCACAACAAATTTACTTTCTGGATTAAAATTACAATGGATAACAAAAGATAGATTAACTTTGTAACTAACATAAACAATAATGTCCCATGATTCTTTGGTGCAATCCCTGGGCTTGGAAGGTTTCCCTTTAAAGGATCTGTGTATTTCATGTACCGGTACGTATTAAATTTGAGAGGCATTCACAGTTAATTGTTAACATGGAACTTACCAATTATAACCATTATTCTCTCTTATAATTTTCTATCAGTGAGAATGCTTCAAGAGTATTGCAGAGATATCATACGAACTTTTGTGCCCGAGGAAGACGTTATGAGGTTGCCATTACCAACAAAAGTCAAAGAATATCTGAAATTTCAAGTCTTGTAGTTTGTAAATTAAATTTTAGTTCCCTTTTTTAGATCATGGAAACCATAAATAATATTTTTCACATATAGTAGTATGCTGTGCATTATTACATATATACTGTAAAAACATTAATTTTTTGTTGGTATTTAATTTAACTATTTTTAAATTTGATCACATTCACTGGGTTTTTTAAGTTAACGAATTTACCAGAAACAGTGAGTTTTATTGTTATTATACATATTCACATGAATTTAATTTCACCTATCATCGAAAATAGCGAAATTGAAACCTAGTGATTAATTAATGCATCTACAGTAACTTGTTTATTACGCATCAACTGTAATTGCATACACTTGTGTGATCTGCATGGATAATCTAATTTAAGTTGGTGATGATGTGACAATAAAAAGATAATGGTACAAAATACTTGTATTTATTCTAAACTTAATCATAATTTGTAAGTGAGATTAAACAAAATTTGTAACATTCACTTTTTGGTATTTACCATTTTGTGCAATAAAAGCTGGTAACAAAAATATTATTACATGTACTCGACTTGGAATTATAGTAGCTAAACTCAGCTTCCAAGTAAATAAATGTTTGATCCGATTTAAGGTAGTTGATTGACTGAAATAGCCAAGTTGACTGTCAATGTTATGTGTGAATGGCGCCCTCTAACAACTGCTCCAACCACACACACACCACAGTGTTATGCTAGGTTATGTCAATAAAGAACTCTACTGGGGTGTTCATATGATGATTTGTTTATAATGTACTGGTATAAGAAATGCACCAACTTTGTATTCTACTACCAACATTTCTATCCCAGAGAGTATTGGTCACTAGCATAAAATACAGTAACCCCTTGCTAAATCATGCCTCAGTAAGTTACGATTTCTTGAATGTTTTCACTTCTGACCCATTTTTATTTACAAAAAAAAAAAAAAAACAGGACTGAAAATTACTACATCACCAACATTGACACATTCAAGATTATTCACATCACTTAAACTTTGCTTGCATCAATTAACTTTGCTTGCGTCAGATAAGAAACACTTTTGCTAGTGATGGAAATATAATCATGTCACTGGATACAGATGTTAGCCTTAGATAAAGCCTTCAAAAGTCTTGAATATCCTTAGTATATGGTAGTTCCTTCCGAGCTTTTTGATTTTAAATTTATTTCAATGTGATATAAAATTGTCGTTTCCAGTTTACATAATACCTGATACTGAATGATTACTATAATCAGTTACACTGTGACATGCTTTACACAATTGCAATATTTAACAAGAAGTATAAAATGATGGTTCACTAAAGCGCATTAACAAATTTCTTAGGTGATGAGCGCCCTCACAGAAAATAAAAACAAAGGAACTTGTTAGTTTGCCCTCTAGGTGACAACAAAGATTTATTGAGCTGTATATTTTCATTAACGTATTACTGGTAATAGTTTTTTATTATTCAGAATAGCATTTAATGATTGACTGGGGAGAAAATAAACATTATTACTTGCCAATAAATCCTAGATATAATATAGTGTATATGTTCTTTGAGACAAGAGAAGACGAAAGAAGTCAAACAATTCGACTCTCATCCAGGTTAAAGTTGGAAAGAACATTTCCAGAATTCATCCTTCCTGCTATCTCTGGATTAAAAAAATTCACACGTGATTCAACTGTCCACAAACTCAGACTTTCCAAATAGTCAACAATAGTTTTTGGTAACAATATGTATGTATTTCTCTGATTTACGTATGCACATTGTGTTTCTTGGGTGTCATATCAATGATAATGGCGTTGGAGCAATTTTTCGCCCAACTCACAATTCAGTTTGGCAACATTTGCAGAGCTTTTGTTCTCTAATTCTGAATACAAACATCGACCCTAGTATTAATTACCGTAGTAACATCGCCTAGT